GGATGGTTAAGACCAAGGTAAAGCAGGACCTGTGCAACAAGAGTTGTAGCTTTTTGGTCTGAGAAGGTCAATGAAATGCCCTCAGGATTTGTCCTGAGCCAGTAGACTGTTTCTTATACCAAACTTTGCAATCTTCTCCTTGAGAGGTTTCCAGTCCCACAGGTCTGTGGGAATAACATTCCACATGTCATACTGAAGGATTCCTTTGCTTACTGGACAGCCTTCATAGATTTCATATGGGCCAAGCTCCTTGGCTAGCTCACAGCTGGCTTCCAGGGCTCCATAATAAATAGTTTCAAGGATTTATTTATTTAATAACTGGGCCTCTATACTCTCAAAAGGATATCTCATCAGGATAAAGGTATCTACCAGCCCTTGTACTCCAATTCCAATGGGTCTATGGCATTTATTTGATAAATGTGCCTCTGGGACAGGATAGTTTATATCGATAATTTTATTCAAATTTCGGACAATAGCTTTGGTGACTTCTGCCAATTTCTCAAAGTCGTATGTGTGTTCTGGTGTAACATACATATTCAGGGCCAGGGAAGCCAAGTTACAAACTGCAACCTCATTTTTGCTGGTATATTCAACTATTTCTGTGCACAGGTTGCTGCATTTGATTGTTCCCAGGTTCTGCTGGTTGCTCTTCCGATTACAGGAATCTTTGTAGAGCATGTACAGGGTACCCGGCTCTGTCTGAGACTCAGTGATGGTGTACCAAAGCTGCTGAGCTTTTACAACTTTGCGAACATGACCTTGTTTTTCATAACTTTCATATAACTTCTCAAATTCCTCTCCCCAAACCTCATCCAGGCCAGGACACTCATTTGGACACAGCAAAGACCAGTCCTGATTAGTCTCTACTCGTTTCATGAAGAGATTCAGAATCCAAAGGGCAAAGAAAAGATTCCTGGCACGCTGCTCTTCTTTTCCTGTGTTCTTTTTTAAATCAAGAAACTCAAAGATGTCTAAATGCCAAGGCTCCAGGTAAATAGCAAATGCCCCAGGGCACTTGTTTCCACCTTGATCAACATAACGAGCTGTGTTGTTATACACTCTCAGCATTGGTACAAGGCCATTAGAATTGCCATTGGTCCCAGCTATGTAGCTGCCAGTAGCCCAAATACAACTCACAGTGACACCAATTCCTCCAGCGGATTTAGAAATCAATGCACACTGCTTCAGAGTGTCATAAATGCCTTCGGTGCTGTCATCTTTCATACTCAGAAGGAAACAGCTTGAAAGTTGTGGGCAGTTGGTACTAGCATTGAAGAGAGAGGGAGAAGCATGAGTAAACCACTTCTGGGAAAGAAGGTTGTATGTTTCAATTGCAGCCTCTATGTCTTCTTTGTGAATCCCCACAGACACCCTCATCAACATATGCTGCGGCCTTTCAGCCACTTTTCCATTGATCTTCAACAAATAGGACCTCTCCAGAGTCTTAAAGCCAAAGTAATTATAAGAGAAATCTCAGTCATAGATGATGGCAGAATTCAGGCGATCTTTATGGGCCAAAACAATATCCAGTGTTGACTTGGCCACCATGGGAGAATGTTTGCCATTATGTGGATTTATATAGTTGAAGAGGTCCTCCATTACATC